CCGGATAGACGGGTTGATGTCGGCCCGACTTCGGATCGAGGGGGCAGTGTAAACTGCTTGTTTCGGTGGTATGGGAGGGGTGCACGGCATTGGTGCCGGTGCTTTCGGCTCTTCAAGGGGTCGATATGGGGGTATCAGCACGAGCAGATCTTCTGGATGCCGTCGGCCGTACTCCTTCCATGCATACTCTGTCGCGGCATACTGTAAAATCTTTTTCTTTTCAGTATCTCCTGCATACCGATACTCCAGTCCTAACGCCGTTTCCTGCCAGCGCATATCCTGCCATAGAAAGTTTCTCCCCTGCTCGTACAGTCTCTGGTACTCCTTGCTCCTTGCTCTTTCTATCTCCTCTTTCAATGCTTCTTCATCTGTGTCTTCTCCCGCTTGTTCCAGTCGTTGTCGATACGAGTCATCACTGTCGTCGTCCTCCTCATCCCCATCGTCCCCGCTGTCCCCTTCCGCGAGGAGGGAATGGACGGGCCGGTCGTAGATTGACAGTATGGCTGGACGAAGGGTCGTTGGAGACCCTTCCATTGACCTGGGTGCTGGGCCCAGCTTCTCCTTGGTTACTGGTTCAGATGATGGAAGGGTTCCTGAGTCAACTGTAGCGCGTCCCTCTGTGCGCTCTCGTCTCCTCCAGTTCTTGGCTATAGAGGCTGAAGTGTCGTTGGAACTCGGGATTAAGGAACTGTCGAGCAACCCTGCTGCCCAGGAATCGCTGGAGAGCCCTGTCAGAGATGTGGGCATTGTCGGGTACTCAGAGCCCGTAGGCTCCGAGTACAGAGTCGGCGTCCGAGGAGATGGTGTCAGTATGGGCAGGATACTTGAGGTCGATGGTTCGGGGTTCTGCTGCCCTTCCTCGCCGAATGGCTTTGTCCCAGCTGACGATGCTGGCGGGTCCTGTCCATGGGTCATCGTCCGAGTCGGGCTCCCTGAAGGGAGACCCTGCGTCAGTATGGAGCTCATACTCCCTAGGGGAGGCTGACCCCATCCTCTCGATTTCCTCCCTTCGTCTTTGTGCTCTTCCTTGCCTGTCATACTCTGCAGCCTCGTATCGCTCTCAGGCCTCTTCTCATACGTAATCAGTGAGCTCCTCCCGAGTTCGCCTACGTTCCCTCTCTTGGTTTCAGTTCTGCTGCTGCTGCTGTACTGCCTGGTCGTAATTGAAGGGAACGGTAATATCCCAGTCTGGGAATATTCGCTGTATAATTCTATCCCACATGGCTCTTCCCCTTTCGCTGGCGGTCCCAACTTCAGGTTCGCTTCCCACGTGGAGATGTCGGAAGGGGTCTCCTGCTGCAGAGATGGCAATCTCTGTGTTCGCATAATCAGGGTGGATAGTCCTTCCATATGGGTCGTCAACCCCCAACCTGCTGACGGATGGGCTGGAGTCAGAGTTGGGCTCGGTGGGGGTCTCGGGGGGGTTCTGGGGGGGGTCGGGACTTTCGCGGGGTCCCGCAGCCATCCGAGCGGCATCAAGGGAGTCCCGAGCACGGTTTCCAATCCCTGAGGGAATTGGGGAGGCGGAATGCTCGGGGGAGTTTGCTGGAGTGACATAGTTGGAGACCTCTGCGGGCTCCTGGCTGACGTTCGTCGTCCACGGGTTCCGGAACCCTATGAGAGCAGGGTGGCGGTTTCTGCTGTGTCGTCGAGGGGGGTATTGGGGTCCTTCCTCCTCGTGAAGGCTCCCCTGATCCGGGTCATAATTCCCGGTTTCTGGTACGGGTCTCCCTTGCGGGAAGAAGGACATTCTGGCGGAGGGGGGGATGTCATGGAAAGGTAGATCGGAGGTTACGTTGCGTAGAATTTGTTGAATGTGCTGGAAGGCTTGATAGTGCCTGATTATCCAAGCTGCTACTGATTGTCATCCTCGACAGAGAGTGATGATGGCTAGAAGTCCGAGTAGAGTTCCGATGATGGAAGCGATCAGCTCGAAGAAGTCGTGATTTAGGTCAGCGGTTGTTACTGGAGGCATTCGGTTTCTCAGCACAATTGGGCTTGAGAAAGGGAAGGTGAAAGCTTCGAGCTAATTGTTAGGCTCAAGCATCATGTGAACAGATACACATGATAAACAGGTGTTCCTTCGCACTTCGAGGAATCATCTGAGTCCACTTAGTATATATCCGTTCAGTGTGACACAAGGTCAGGTATAGACTCGAGATAGAATGGCATGTATAAACTTTAGCTCGAAGCTGGGGTTATTGCCAGCAAGAGCGTCAGTCTTAAATACTATACAGGTAGTCCTAATTATATCGCTACTTATTATGTCTGTCTGTGTCTATGATACTCGTTGTCTTTGAGCATCAAAACCATACATAAAAGGGGAATTGTGTTGTTATTAAGCTTGGTTGTCGAGATGGTTTAGGGATCGCTAGTTGTGCTGACTAAGCTCTCCTACCATCTTGTGCCCTTCTGACTAAGCATAGATAGGGGCGAAGGGCAGATGTTTAAGAGGAGAATGACGAAAAATAGGGAGAATAGGGAGAAATCATAACAGTGGTCCTCTGTCCAAAATCACTACTTGAGGCATACCATATTTTGCATAGACTTCATCCCATAGGATTTTAGCCCATTCTTCAGATGTTAATTCTGTCGGACATGTGACTGGAATAATTGCCTTCGAGAAGCGATCTACTATGACAATGATAGCATCATAGCCATCACTTTCGGGAAGTCCTGTTATTATATCCACCAAGATGTGGGTCCATGATGACAAAGAGACCTCATTTGGGTGAAGGGGAGCTGCTCTGGGTTGCATTGAAGCCTTGCCTTATTAGCAAACTTCACAAGCTTTGATATATTAGATGATATCATGGTCCATCTTTGGCCACTAATACTCCCTCAAGACTAATTCCTTTGTTTTAGCGATCTCTGGATGTTTAGTGGTCATGTGATCATGACAAATGGTGATGATATTGCCATGAAGGTGTTGATCCCTTGGGATATAGATTCTTTTATCATAGCAGATCATCCCTTCTTCTTTTTTCAGTCCCCATTCATGATTCAGCGATGAGGCTATCTTCTGATCCCACTTGTGGAAATCTCGAGTGGTGCTCTTGATCTGCTCATGTATCTCTTCTTCCATTGGCATAATCATTGTCTGAAAATGTTCTGGTCGCAATAGTATGACCTCTTTGTTGTCATCTCCTCTTTGGTTGTGATCCACCCTGTGGCTGAGGAGATCAGCCTTCTTGTTTGCTGCCTCAGCTTTGTGATGCAGCATATAGTCATATTCGGATAGTTCCATAACCTATCTGGCCTGTCTGTGATTAAGCTTCTAGGGTTGTTGGAAGTATTATAGATTTTGATGATCAGTCCAGATTTTGAATGTCTGATTGGCTCCAATGAGATAATGCTGCCATTCAGCAAGAGTGAGCATTATGGTGAGGAGTTCTTTGTCATAAATTTCATAGTTGTGCTCTGTTACTGTGAGCACCTTTGACATAAAAGTGATAGATCGCTATTTGTCATTTTATTCCTGTGAGAGTACAGCTCCGATTGTGCCTTCACTGGAGTCAGCTTCCACCCTGAACCTTCTATCTTGACTTGGTATAGCTAAGATGATGTCTTCAGCTAGTTGGTGTTTAAGGTCATTAAATGCTGCCTGTTGGGGAATTTTCCAGGTCTATGGGGAATTTCTGGTTAATTGCATTATTGGTCAGATGATTTTGCTGTAATCTCAGATAAATCATTGGTAGAAGTTGGTAAATCCAAGAAATGATTGTAGTTCCTTCTTCTTGGTCAGTTTCAGCCATTCGGTTACTCCTGCTACCTTGATAGGGTCCATTCTGATGCTTCCTTCACTGATGATGATTCTAAGATATTCAGTTTCTAATACCTCGAATTCACACTTCTCAGCCTTAAGGAAGAGTCAGTGCTTCCTCATCAGTGATAGCACTTGTCATACTATCCTTCAGTGCTTCTCCTTGGTCTTGAACATGATGAGAATGTCATCCAAGTAGATTATTATCTTTCTCATGGTAATGAGATCTTTGAAGATATCATTCATCATCCACTGGAAGGTGGCTGGTGAATTGGTGAGTCTGAAAAACATAACTATCAGTTCAAACAAACTACAGTTAGTTCAAAAAGCAGCCTTCCACTCATTGCCTTTTTTGATATGCACATTGTTGTATCTCCACTGAATGTCCAGTTTGGTGTAGTATTTTACACCCTGGAGTTTGTCCATTAGTTTCGCGATCAATAGAAGTGAATAGCAGTTCTTGATCATCATTTCATTGAGCTTTCGATAATTCTGCACTGGTTGGAGTTTTCTGTCTTTCTTTTTGATGAAAAAGAAGGGGGATGCCATTGGTGATTTCAATGGTCGGATCCTTCCACTGGATAAGTTTTCTTCTAAAAACTTGTCCAGCTCTTGTTGTTTGTTATTGCCTAGTGAATAGCACTTGCAATCTAGGTTGGCATTTGCATTCGGGATTAGTTCAATTGCATGGTCCTATGGTTTTGCATCAGGGAGTTCATCAAAACTTTTTTTTTTGAATAAATCCTGATAATTGCATATCCAATAGGGTACCATTTTCTCAAATGTCCTTTCTTCTTTCCTGGCATTAGCTCTTGCCACTAGGTCATTAGCATAGTGAGTGGCTCAAATGTTAATGGCCTTTTGTAGGTTGACAGTGAGAATTGTTTCACCATCTTTCATCTCTTCATCCCACTGGTCTTCAGGGTCACTATCCGGTAGTTTGAAAGGGGTTTTTCAGCATCAGCATCTTGTGAAAATGAGGTGTCTAGTTTTCCAATTAATGAATGGGTTATGTCAGATTAGCCAATCATGTCCAAGGAATATTTCCTCATTTCTCAGGATCAGTCTGAGTCTTGGCCATTCCCTCAGATATCATTCGATCCCTGCTTTCCTCTCCAGTTCCCTCTTATCTATGAGCTTTGACCACTGATTATTTTCAGAGAGAAGATTTCCCTCTTCTTCTATTTTTCCTTTCTCCCTCAGACCAATATAGGCCTTGAGGATCATTGGAGTTCTTCTAGTATGGAACCTCCCAGGTAAGTAAGTCCCAAACCTTTTTGGTCTTAGCATTATATTGCCACTCCCTCTCCTCTCCAATGCATTCAGAATATTGTTGGACCTCCTCAAAGAAGTTCTGATTGAGGAATAGGGTGGTGAGTTTCTTGTGCAAGAATCCTTGAAGGGCTCGATTGCTGATCTGGAGTGTTGGCCAGGGTGGTATTCTTGCTTTGATGGTCCAATCGAAGGATTCATCATCTGCTAGGACACTACTGCTTCCTGACTCGCTGGACAGGAATCCATCTGAACCACTTTCTTCTTTTTTGGTGATGTCATCCCATCAGTTGATCCTATAGAGGTCATTCTCAGAATCTTCATTCCACTCAGTGCTTGAGAGGCCACTTTCACCCCTGGGCTGACCGAGGCTCTTAGCCTTCTGTACTTCCTTTCTCTGTGTCTGTTGATCAGGGATCGGTATCTCGATCCTGATTGTCTCCTGATTCATCTCAGCAATCTGGGGTGTAAGGGTCATCCTCAGGATTTTTGTCTCATTCTGTGCCTGAGGGCCATTTTCAATATTCTTAGACTCTTAGAGCAGGGCCCCATTCTGCTGGTCAGCCAATTCCAGCCAGCTGTTGGTGCTCTTCATCGAGCTTGTCTCCCCACTGCTGGCCATGCTTGACCTCCTCTTTTTCCACCAGTGTGTTAGTGGAGTCAGGGTCAGAGGTCGGGAGGAGTGGGGAATAGAGGAGGGATTCCTCCTCCTCTTGGCTAGGACCTGATTGGCCCATATTCTCAGACCCTTGTCTGAATCTGATTTCATTGATTCGGGTCTTGGTAGAGAGACCGTTGATGAGTTGGTGGATGATGTCATTCTTGGCTTAATAATCCCAGATTATCCTAGTTGTTAGAGTTTCTAAAAGAACAGTCAGCAATTCAATAGAGAAAGGGGATACTTCGGAGTTGATAGAGCTGGTGTTGAAAGGCATATGGTTTCTTGTCCAATGGATCAAGAAATGTTTGTCAAGAAATGTTCAGTTCTTTTAGCCTTTTAGGCTTGAAGAAGGAAAGGAGAAGTCTTAAACTAATTGTTAAGCCTAAATCCCATATGACTATCAACACATGATAAACAGTTTAGAATCTCGCACTTCAGGTTAGACTGACTGAGTTCACAAGGTAATAGTGGTAGTGGTTCAAGGCATGGCAAGAAGCTTGAGCTCAAGAGTAGATGGTGAAGAATAAACTTTAGTTCGAGATTGGGGTATTACAGCAAGAACTAAACTGCTTAAATACTGTTCTGTTATCTGGCTATTAATAACTATTCACAAAAGATATTGTCTGCTATAGAGCTGTTTCCTCTGCTGTTGCCAGGCTCTCCACAAAAGCTGTTGTCTTGCTGTTGTGCTGTTACTGCTGCACTGCAGTTGAAGGACAAAAGGAACATTGTCTCTCCCTTCACAGCACACAGCAGCACGATAGGAGAGTGACCAACTGGGTGCTGAGCTAAGCATTCTCACAGTCCTAAGCACTAGCCTAAGTGCCCTGACTAAGCAAAGATAGGGGTCATTTCTAAGGAAAAAGAAAAGAAAATAGGAAAAATCGTAACAGATGGCTAGCTCATTGGCATAATGAACTGTCTGAATGTGCATTTCTTGTTGAAGATCGATGGCAAGTATGGTCTCCTCATCCTCCATCTCTTCATCCTATCAATCTTCTGAATTCTCATCAGGCAACTCAAACAGAATTTTTCAGCACTGGCATCTCATAAATGTGATTTTTCTAATCTTCCAGTTGATTAACAGATTATGATATATTAGCCAGTCATAATCAAAGAAGATCTCTTTAGTTCTGAGATTGGTTACTGCAAAGTTGATCTATTCAGAATGATCTCTGATTGTGAGCTTTAGCTCAACAAATTCAGTGATCAAGCTGATCTCGTTCTTAGTTCTATCTGCATTGTAAACCAGAATGGGCACTGCTATGGTCTAAATTGAGAGTCTGTGCTTGTTGACAAAAGCTTGATTGATAAAACTCCTAGTGCAACTGCTATTGATCAGGGCAGTTACAGCATAGATTGATCAGGATGTAAGAGTCTCGATCTGGACTTTAGTGAGTAGGTCTCATCCAGTTATCTTAGATCATCAAATGAACTTTCATGGCCTATAGAGTTCGTTGAGCCACTCTAGGGCTTGGCATCTCTCAGCTTTCTTCATGTCTCCCACCATTTTATTGATGACTTCTTAGATTCGTGTCTGGTGAATCCAGTTTTTGAGTATGGCTTTTGCTGCAGCTTTGTTCTTGGCATCCTTGATAGTCCTCTAGGTCTATTTGGTGTTGAATGGTTTGAGCCATATAGTAGGGTCTGCTGCCTTTGTTTGGCCCATAAATACTTGAGTTTTCTTTTTTAGCAATTCTTTAGTGTGCAAGATAGAAGTCTGAGGTATATTTGAATGTGTAATAGGAGTAGACATAGGAGTAACTACAGAAATGCTATCAGTCTGGCTAGCAGCTGGAGTTTGCACACTGTGAAGTCCTTCAGTCAGTCTAATAGAATTGCTCACTGGCTGGCCCTGTCTTTTACTTCCTCAACCTTGGTCTCTGCACTAAGTCCCTCTTCTTCTTTTTGTAACTCAGTGATCTGGGCCCAGATGTCTTCTCTGGTCCATTTCTTCTTTAGGCAGTCCTTTGCCATATGATCCTTCTGGCCACAATTGAAGCACTTACTCTCTTTCTTCATCCAGTCTATATCCATTGGTTTTCCTTCACCTGTATAAGTCGTTCCTATCTTGGTCTTTTGTGCACTGTAGGTAAGAGCCATTGAGGGTCCTAATGATTTTCCAGCAGTTGTCCCTAATGATTTGTTAGAGATTGGCAATGTCAACTTCTTCATATAATCTTGCAGCATGGTAGATTCTGCTTTCTGCCTTTATTGCTCCTTGTACATCTCAATGATCCATTCCTTCCATTCATCATAGTTGTTTAGCATGAGGGCTCTAATGCTGATTGTGGAAATCATTGTGATGTAAGAGAGGGGGACTCCTTGCTTGAGGGCCTCAACCATCCTGCTATTATTCATGGTATCATCCTGGATTCTGGTGAGTTTGGCCAGTCATTTCAGCTCATTGAAATAGTCTATTGCCACTTTGTCAGTCATCTTATACTCCTTGATCTTCTGTTTGTATATCTCTTGTACTACAGGATCAATAAATTTATTATGGAGCATTTATTTAAAGACAGGCCATAAGGGGTACTGATAGTGCTTCCAAGTTGTCAATCAGAAGTTTGGAGAAATGAGGATTCACCATATCTTAGTCTTCTCCTTAAGGTAGAAGGTAGCAAAGATGATCTTATTCATGTCAGTTTTCAGATATCCTATGTAGACCTCAGAGTATTGCTCATAGTCTACAAGGAATCTATTAATGTCATCAGATATGCTCTTGAAAGAGCAGAGTTTTTACAGGAGGTCTAATACTGCAGCATCATTAGGTAGTACACTTATCAGGTTGGGCCATTCTGAGAAGAATGGTCAACACCACTCTTGGAGTGACCCCAGAAATGAATGGAGTGAGTTATCATCTGCCACAGGACTTTCTTATAGTGGTTCCTTCTTTTGGACTATAACCCTGTCTTGAATTGTGAATCTGAGTCAGACAGCTTCAGGATCATCCCAAACTAGCTCTTTTCTGCTTCTACTTGTCTCATCAGATAGAGGCTGGGCTCTCAAGATTTAGCTTTCTCTGCCAGTCCAGGGATTTTAATATGAGGTCAGCAGGTGATTGGACATCGGTCAGGATCATGATAGCCATGTTGCTGTAGATCAGGATGAGAGAGCAAAGTAGGAAAAGATGCTTTAAATAGACAGAGCTATGTATATAGCTCATTTCAGGGTGATAGATGGTGACCACAGCATTGGTTGGATAGGCTCTAGTGCTTGGTGTGCTAGCAGCCTTCAAATCTGATCTTCAGGATGTCTCTTGTTGTATTGTATGACAGCATAGTCAGTGGCCACATATCTTAAGATTTCTGTTCTTTTATTAGTGATAGAATATAAATATAATTGTCTCATCTGTGACACTATCCAAGTAGTATTGCATCATAAAAAGTTCACTCCCTGCAGGTAGTACTTCTGATACTCCTGCATTCTGACCTCTTGTACTGCCTGCTCCAGTTCTTTCTTATCTGTATCTTTCTGCAGTCTATAAGCCAGCTCTCTATCAGCTCAAGGTGGGTTGCTGCTTTCAGTTTCCTCATCCTCCTTACTCTCATTGTCCCTCTCTTCCTCAAGGAGGGAAGCAGTAGGCAGATCATAAAAACTCTCCTCATCCTCTTATGGTCATGCTGTCAACCCACTGTCTTGGCTGGATACTGGGTCTAGCCATGAGGCCTGATATGTTTGAGGCATTAAGATAGGTGGAAGCAGACTGACTTCTAATATCAGAGTTATACCAGATCCCTCCTATTGCTCTCATCACTGCTACTTGCTTGTGATAGAGCTGGATGTTTCTTCTGCACTCATCGTCGAGGAGCTGTCCAACCATCCGACTCCCAAAGAACCCTCAGAGAGCTCAAGCAAGGATATAGGCAGTTCTAGAGACTTATAACCCATAGTGTCTAAGGACAAACTCATTATCCCCAAACATAATATTGGCACTGGGAGTTCTTTGGAGAGAGAGATACTGTGGGATTGAAGGACATGGAGGAGAGATGCTGGTTCTTCCACCTACTGCAAGGGTTTTATTTCACCAGTGGACTTTGTCTCATGGGTCAAACTCAGTGCTGGGTTCTTAGAATATAGGGGTTGAGAGAGATCAGTCAGTGCAGACTGGCATAAGTATAAATGTGATCTTGGGCCAGATTCCATACCAGTTAGAGATGTTAGCGCTTTCCAGTTGAGCTCTTTTGACAGCTCACTGCTCTTTCTTATGCTTGATGGCTCTTCTTGCCTGGCCTTCAAGAATGAGACACTTCTCAAGCTTGCTTTGGAGTGGCTGAAGGATAGTTCTCTGTCTCTGTTCTTCTTGTCAGAGGGCTTCATTATAGTTGAATGGGATGTTAAGGTCCTATGTGAGAAAGAGCTGATGAATGATTTCATTTCAGCTTTCTCAGATCTGACACTTGTCCTCAAGCTGGTCTGAGAGAGACCACCCCAGCCCACTGCTAGTTCTGACTGAATAGTGGGCAAAAGAAGTGGGGCTGTTAGGCTGGCTTCTGTTAAGCCCAAATTCCACGTGACTAGAAACACATGATAAACCGACAGAACCTCACACTTCAGATTATACTGTCAGAGTCCACTTATGTGTGACTAGTGTTGTGTTGTCAAGGCGTTGCAGTTCGCTCGAGATAAGATGGTGAAGTAAAGCTTTAGTTTGAGACTGGGGTATTACAGCGAGAACTAAGCTACTTAAATACTGTTCTGTTATCACGTTATAAATAACTGTTCACAAAAGATATTGTCTGCTGTAGAGCCGTTCCCCCTACTGTTGCCAGGTCTCCCACAAAAGCTGTTGTCTTTGCTGTGGAGCTGTGGTCGTGCACTGCAATTTGAAGATAAAAAGGGCATTGTCTCTCCCTTCACAGTGCATTGCAGTGTAACAGGAGATTGACCAACTTGGGCTGCTGAGCTAAGCATTCCCACTGTCATAAGCAAAGATAGGAGTCATTTCTGAGGAAAGGGAAAAGAAAAGAAAGAAAATAGAAAGAAAATAGAAAAAATCGTAACAGCTTCAAGGTGTCATATAGCAGAATCTTATAGCTATCTGAGCAGTGTTATGATTTTCCCTTCTTTTCCTTT